CCCCCCGCCCCCCCCCCCCCCGGGGGGGAGAAAAGCGCCTCGCCTGGCACCACCGACCCGGAGCCGGGATGGTCTGTTAACACCGTCCCCTGCCCCTCGCCCCTTCGATCCTGCCCTCGCCCGCCCCTCTCGCCGCCCACACCGGCACAAAGCCCCACCGACCAGAGATGACCCCCGACCCGCTGACGGACACGGGGGATCGGGGCATGACTCCGCCATCGGCCTTGCCCCCGCACTTTGCCTCGCTGGAGGCGGAAACCGCCGCCGGGACGGCCTCCCCCGCCGGACCGGCCGGGCCGAAGGCCCCCCTCCCCACGGTGCTGACCACCGACCACCGGATCCCACCCATCCAGGTGGCCTACAGCGCGGCCAATGGGTCCCGGCCGTCGCGGCGCCACGGCGGCCCGGCCGAGCGGCGCTCCCATCCCGAGCGCGTGTTCACCGCACTGCGCAATGCCCCAAGCGCCTTGCCGCCTGACGGCCCGGCGCCTCCCGCCGAAAAGCAGCCCCCGGCCGGGCAGCCGGTCGACCCTCTGAAGCTGGACATAGCCCAAGTGAGGCAGAACCTCCTGCGTGGTTCGCTCCTGGGGTATGGCATCCGCGCGCTGCCGGAGCTACTCGGCCTGCTGACTGCGCAGTTTGTGCGTGCCCCGCCCTTCACCGGCGCCATCCTCTCTTCCTCATCCTGCCCCTCTTCCCCCTCCTCCTCCTCCGCCTCCTTGTCCTCCTCCTCTTTCCGCCCCCTGCTCGCCAGCCCACATGCGACTGCCTGGGCCACTCCGCCGGCCCCGCGCGGATGGCCGATCCCCTCGCTGACATGCTCCGCGGGACCGTCGGGCAGAACCCCTCCCGGCGGCGAGCCCTCCTCCCCCTGATCCTGGAGGTCCTCAAGCGGACCTTGGCCAATGGCGGCGCCATGGCGCAGGGGCTTTTCGTCGGGGCATGGGCCGCCGGAGTGCCCCTCCTGCGCCTCCTCATCAGCCATCTTCTCCTGTACTATCGGATTCGCGTGCACCAGCGCCGGCGGCTGGCCCTAAGTTCGCTGGCCGCCGAGCCCAGTCACAAGCCCACTCCCATGGACCGGGATCTGGCCCGGGCGGATGTGCGGCGCTGGGCGCCGGCCGTCAGCGCCGGGGCCGGGGCCCTGGCCGGCCTGACCCTGCTTCTGGACCAGTCCCAAGCGGGCCTCGAGCAGCGGTCCACACTGGCCCTGTATGCGGTGGTCCGCGCGCTGGATGCGCTGGCCCGGCTGTCAGTCCGCCGGGGCTGGATCCCGGAGGTGCCACACGCGGCGACGCTGCTTTTCCAGCTTGCCTGCACGGAGATCATGTTCGCGTGGTTTTACCACCCCCAGGCCCTGCCCCCGAGCTACGAACGGTGGATCTCCAAAATGGCCTACATGGATGCGCGTCTGCTGTCGGTGATCCGCCTCCGGCGGCTGGGGTTCATTCAGTATGGCCTGGTGCATGATGCCTGCCTGGCGGAGTATTGCCGCGATCATGGGCTGGATCCCCGCCGCGGGGATCCCTTCTACGGGCATCTGGACTGCGCCATCATCCACCCGCTGGATGGGCTGTCCTGCCGGGGCAATGCCTTCCGGCGATTCCGCAATGGCTTCCTCATGGCCCTGGGCATCTATGGCCCGGTTCATGCGCTTCCCCAGCTGTTTGCCTATATCCGGGGGAAGTCATCTGTGCGTGCTCGCGGCACGGGGCCTGGCGCCATCGAGCCCCGGTGCCCTTCCACGGTGAACCCCTCGCTTGCTTGCCTGCCTGCCTCCTGCCGTCACCCATTTTCCCTTCCGCCCCCCCCCCCCCCCCCCCCCCCCCCCCCGCGCTCCCCGCACCTCCTGCACTCGGGGCGGGCCTCGATGTACAGCGCTCGCTCCAGG